GTGTAAAACATAAAGGAAAAACTTAAAGAAAAGCTTCCAAGTTCCTAACCAGAGTTTGGAGTTACATTTATAGTTTTGAGGACGGAGATGATGGGTCAGAGAGTAGACTTTAAGTTGACTGATTCAATAACCATTTATTTGGACACTTTTCTAACTTGGGGAAAAAGTAGATTTGTATGAATACTGCAAATTACTTGACTATAGGTAGAATTTTTATGTGTTTTTGACAATTTTTGAGGATTTGCAATACCTCACTGCTATGTCCTGTGGTGGCTAACTGCCCCTTGTCCAGGATGTGGGCTAAGCTGTTTAGAGGAGCAGTGAGGGGCTTGTCTCAAGGCATCTCCAGCCACAGACATTGCCAGGAAGACGGCAGATGCCCCTGATTGAACACACATTGTGGTGCTTTTGATTGAGAAATGTGTAATGTTTGCTAATTTTAAGATCTACAGGTAGTTAGACACAAATAACTATCTAATTAGTTACTTGAACAGATTTATTTCAGGCAGCTATAGTTAGGTGGTTCTGAGTTTCAAAGATTATGTTGTGGTACATTAAAAAAAAAGTTCCTACTTAAGTGATCACAGTGTAAGTTGAACCTTCCTTTTCCTTCAGACASTACCTCTGTACTGAATAGCCACTTGCCTTAGGTGCCTTAGGGAACAGATTATTTGYACAAGATGCAAAGGTGCACCCCTGTAGTTAGAGCAACCCAGGAGGCTGAGGCAGGAGGATCCCAAATTCAAGGCCAGTCTCAGCAATTTAGTGAGACCTATCAAAAAATGAGAATGGCTGGGGATGCAGCTCAGTGGTGAAGCATCCCAGTAAATCACCAGTAAATCACCCCCTCCACCTTTTTTTCTTTCTTTCTTTTTTCTTTTTTTTTTTTGCAAAAGTCTCTTCTTTTTAATAAGTTCGGTGTGTTGAGAATGTGTACTTCGCTGCCCACTAGAAGTATGTGGGTGGTGGTGTTGAATCAGGGTTAGAATGTCCTCTTTCTCCCTCCATTTGTTCTGAAAGACAGTTTGTCAGCAGCACTGCGCACTGTTGTTACACACTAATTACAATGATTAATTTTCTGTTGGGTAAGTTTTGATGTTATTTAACTCTTTGTTATCACAACCACTTTAAAGATTTTGGTTTTAAGTAATGGACACCTGKTTTGGATTATTTGGTGCTTTAGTGTTGAAGAATTCTGTGGTATCTCAGAGCCAGGGCCTTTGCTTGCAGAGGTTTCCGTGGCATGCCCAGTGGATTTGTTTTGGTGGGTTGCGTGAGAAGAGGGTATAAATTCAAGCGAGGCATTTTTGGKTTTTTTTTGGTGGGGTTGGAACAGAACCCAGGGTTTCATGCAGGCTAAACAAGGGCTCTAGCACTGAAGTACACCTCTGCCCCCAAACTGCTGCAGTTTTCTTTGTGCTGGTCAACCTTATGTGTGATCAAAAATGATTCCTGCTTTCAGTTATTCCAGTCTTGAGACTGCAGAGGTGTAATTAGACAGCAGTCTTAGGTAGCCATGTGGAAGTTTGGATAACCATTCACATTATTATTAATTTCATTTTTTGGTACTGGGGATTGAACCCAGGGTGCTTGAGCACTCCTCCAGTCCTTTTTATTTTTCATTTTGAAACAGGGCCTCATTAAGTTGCTGAGGCTGGCTCGAACTTGGGATCCTCCTTCCTCTGTCTCCCAAGTCACTAGGGTTACAAGCTTGAGCCACCAGGCCTGGCCACTCATGCTAATTTTAATAGATAGATGGTTGTGGTTGATGGATGTGGCCAGAGGTGTGCACCTCGCTTCTTTGCTGTCTGGTTGTGCAGGTGTGTTTTGAGGGACCAACTCTGTGTTGGCACCAGGGCATCGGGAACAAGCCAGCAGGGCTTTGCTATCTTAGGGTCTTACTTTAAGAAGCAGGCCAACAGGATGTTTTTAATTATTTTTGTCTTTTTTAATCTTAAAATTGTGTATGTATTTATATATATATATATATATTTGTCCAAACAGGATGATTTTATAGTACTGGAGATTGAATCCAGTGACACTCCACTACTGAACTGCATTCGAAGCCTTTTAATTTTCATTTCTTTTTTTTGGGTTGGGGGGAAGGCACTGGGAATGGAACCCAAGGGTGCTTTACCACTGAACTACATCCCCAGCTCTTCTTATTATTTATTTAATTTTATGTGGTGCTGAGGGTTGAACCCAATGCCTCACATGTGCCAGGCAGGTGGTCTACCATTGAGCTACAGCCCCAGATCCAGCCCTTCTTGTTTTTTATGTGAGATGGGGTCTTGCTAAGTTGCCCAGGCTGACCTCACATTTGGAATCCTCCTGTCTCAGCCTTCTCAGTAGTTGTGATTAAAGACATGTCACCAGATCCAACTCCTGACAGGATGGTTTTAGATACGGCGGAAAGGTTTGGAGGGTGTAGTCTTTACTGAGGAGCAGGGGCTGTGCTGGAAAAAGGCGGGAGCAAGCCTCGATGGTGACTTCCTTCAAGGTCCTCTGGTGCCAGGAGAGCTGCGCACAGTTTGTGGCCATCAGAACCTGCCCTGGAAGCTTCGTCTGGGACCCGCCCACGTCTCCATCTCTCCTCCTAGTGAGACTGGAGCTCTTTCCTTCCACCCTTTCCAGCTCTGCCTCCTTTTCAGGCCTTCACTCTCCTGAAGTGTCATGAAGGTCCTGTCCTACAGAGCTGTGCTGACCTCCGTAGGCCCCAGACATTTGAAAATTTCACAGATAAAAATGGTGCCGAACCTCCTTTCCAAGATGTTATTTACAGTAATTGAGTTGTGCTGGTACCCTGGATGGAAAAAGGGATATACCCACATCAAATTTCTCATCTAGTAGTTGATTGTAAGGATGGGATCTTTTTTGGAAAGGGTATTATAGATAGGCGGAATTCTCCTAAATTTTTAAATTTAAAGGGATTGGCAAAAGAACCCAAACTTAAAAAAAATTATTTTTGGGATACTGAGGGTCAAATCCAGGGCCTGGTGCTTGCTCTGTAGGTGCCACTGAGCTGCACCCCAAGCCCAGCCAAAGTTCCTTTAAAGAATAGTTGATGGGGCTGGGGATGTGGCTCAAGCGGTAGAGCGCTCGCCTGGCACGCATGCGATCCTCAGCACCACATACAAACAAAGATGTTGTGTCCGCCGAGAACTAAAAAATAATAAATATTAAAAAATTCTCTCTCTCACTCTCTCTCTCTCTCCTCTCTCACTCTCTCTTTAAAAAAGAATAGTTGATGTCTGACACGGGATGACTTTGATTTTGCCAAGTAAGGACACTAGTAGTAATAAAACACTCCACTACTTGCTTGGCACTTTCATTTTTTGAAAAGGGGTATTTTAGCCCTTAAGAGGAGGAAAGACCTCAAATAAGTGACAATGTATTCAAATTGAAATCACTCCTGTGGCTTTCTGTAGAACTTGATGCATTGTGTATTTCTCCTCTAGTTTTTGGCTGGTGAATACAGTGCTGTCAGGGTGTGATCATCTCTTTCTTAGAATCTGCAGCTCAGTTCTTCAGTTAAAATACTACTTGGACCTTGGCCTTCAATGAATTCTGTGGAGTAAGTTGTCAGCCCCACAGTGGAACATCACAACCTCTGGAGTCACAGAGCCATGGGGTATTCTTCTGTGAGCCACTCTCTCCCCGAACCATAGACCTTGGGAGCTCTAAGAGCCGTCCTGCCTTAAGCCAGGCCAGAACTCAGGAGCCTGCCGTGTTCTCTTAGGTCACACAGGAAGGTAACCAGCCTCCATTGTGATTGCAACAAAGAACAGAAAGAAATTAAGATAAAACACTGGTATTCTTTCTCCACCCTCATCTCTGGTCTGGAGTCCTCTGTAGGAAAGAAGCTGTAATTGATTCAAAACCAAAGATAAGGGGTTGAGTGTGAAGAGGAGGAAGAGACCTGGGCAGCTGAGGGAGGTGGTGTGTTTTTGTTTTGTATTGACTGTGGTGGGAGCAGTTTGTGTGTCTTTGTTTTCTTGGTAGGAATAATCAGCTGAAGTTTTAAAGTAAAAGGGACTATTTAGAAACAAGTCCTCTGGGTGCCCTAAGAGTGGAGAGTACTGGCTTTAGAGACTAATTCTCTTCCAAGAGTGAAAATTAGCCTCCACATCAGAGTCTGCACAGCTTTAAAAAAAGTAATCCTTTTCCACCTGGCCAACCTGTAATGAGCAAGAGGGGTTAGAAACCGGGAGGGTCTATTTTCTGATGGCAGAGTCAGCGTGTTGGAGTGGGCTTTAGAGAGATGTGCAGGTGCAGCAGGCAGGCGGCTTTGTGCCTTGCTTGTTGTTTGGATTGGGAAGCCTGCCTGGTGCTCCTTGAGGGCACAGAGTGGTGAGAGCAACCTGAGATGCCGACAGCGGGATGGGGGCTAGAATATCCAGTGAACCCCAGTTCATCAAAGAACTGTTGCCAAGAAGAGCGAGCGTTCTGAGGTGTTCTGTCTCTGCAGTGAGGACCAGAGGAATTGTTTCTGTTTCGTATGCTTATGTTTTTGATCTGTGTCACCTTGGAGCCTTCCTTTAAGTGTATCGTGTTCTTGCTGGTAATTTGGTTGTGTAAGGCAGTTTTGGGGATTGGCTTTTAAGATTTTTACCTGAAGTGGTTCAATTTTGTCATCTGATTTTTCATGACCTCGTAATAGTTTTCAGATTTGTGGAAGTTGTGTCTAGGGTACCTGTGTGCGTCTTAGTAGTGACATTTAAGATAGATTCAGCTGAATTTAACAATTTCGGCCCTAAAACATGACCTTTTAGATCGAGATGAGTGAAGCACCGTGCCTTTCAGAGCTCTTGGCCGTGTGACATATACAAGTGTGCTGGCTGGGGAAGCACTGGGGGCAGCTTAACTAGCATGTTGAACAGGATGCGGGAGTGAGTTTAAGGGAGGCAGTTGCATTAGGTCCCATCTCTGCCTTGTGGAGGAACTGTGTCGTCCGCCTGTCCTTCAAGTGCAGCTAATGGCCTCTGTTTACTTCTCTTTAGGTTTTGGAAATCCCTTGTCTCCATATTGCTGGCATCAACTTCTTGCTCAGTGGCAGGGCTCACTCAATGGAGACCAGGAGGACTAACGCTTGGTGCTGATTTGTGTCTGGATCACGGCATCAGGCAATCTGTGCCTTGTTTGTGCAAAGAGCCAGTGACACTCTGTCACTGCACTTCCTACAAACTTCTGAAGATAAGAAGGTGGAGGAGTATACAATTTGCTTTGAACTTTACAGTACATATTTGCTCTAGTTTTGAAGCCCAGAGCTGCTGGAGGTGTGAGGGACAAGTCTTGAAAGTGGCCTTATTCCAACTCCAGAAATTCCCCAGCTGAACTTTGAGTCTTCTGTGTACACAGTCCTAGCACATCAGGGAACATGCCAACTCAATCCCTACTAGTGTACATGGATGGACCAGAAGTCATCAGCAGTGCTCTTGGCACCCAGGGGGAGGTGGGTGATGCCTTGTCAATTAAAGGGACCACCGCTGTACCTTTCAGAGCTTCACAAGAAAAAAATATCATCCAGATAGAAGGATTTATGCCCTTGGATTGCATGTTTTGCAGTCAGACCTTCACACACGCAGAAGACCTTAACAAACACGTCTTAATGCAGCACCGGCCTACCCTCTGTGAGCCAGCAGTTTTGCGTGTGGAAGCTGAGTATCTCAGTCCTTTGGATAAAAGTCAGGTGCGAACAGAACCACCAAAGGACACGAGCTGCAAAGAAAATGAAGAATTCAGCTGTGAAGTATGTGGACAGACATTTAGAGTTGCTTTTGATGTTGAGATCCACATGAAGAAACACAAGGACTCTTTCACTTACGGGTGCAACATGTGTGGGAGAAGATTCAAGGAGCCGTGGTTCCTTAAAAATCACATGCGGACGCACAATGGCAAGTCGGGTGCCAGGAACAAACTGCAGCAAGGCCTGGAGAGTCCTGTCACCATCAATGAAGTTGTCCAGGTACACGTGGCCGGGAGCATCTCATCTCCTTACAAGATCTGTATGGTTTGTGGCTTCCTATTTCCAAATAAAGAAAATCTAATTGAGCACAGTAAGGTACACACCAAAGATACTGCTTCCGGTACCAGCAGTACACAGACCGACTCTCAGCAAGAGGGAATGCAGGAGGGAATGACGTCTCCGCGGGAGGAGTTTCTGCAGTTCTTGAACTTAATGCCCAGATCTCACCCTGAGTCTGGGAGCAGGCCCATGAGGTGCATACCTCAGCTGGATCCCTTCACCACCTACCAGGCGTGGCAGCTGGCCACCAAAGGGAAGGTTGCCATCGCCCAGGAAGAAGTGAAGGAGTCCGGGCAGGAGGGAAGCACCGACAATGACGACTCGTGTTCTGAAAAAGAAGAACTTGGAGAAATTTGGAGTGGGAGTAAATCGGAAGGTTCTGGAAAGTCTAAAACAAGTAAGAACAGTTGCACAGGGCTCTCACAAGACAAAGAGAAGCCCAGACACACCAATGGTGAGGTGCCCTCCGCGGACACGGACCCAAAGGTGTGTGGCAACAAAGAGAAGCCCACACACTGCTCTGAGTGTGGCCGGGCCTTCAGGACCTACCACCAGCTGGTCCTGCACTCGCGCGTGCACAAGCGGGACAGGAGGGCGGACGCTGAGTCGCCCACCATTGCCGTGGATGGAAGGCAGCCTGGGACGTGCTCCCCAGACCTCACCACTGCTCTGGATGATGGTGGGGCCGTGGACCGAGAAGGTGGCTCTGAAGATGGGTCTGAGGACGGGCTCCCTGAAGGGCTGCATTTGGGTAAGCTGCTCCGTGTGTCCTGGAGAACACTGGCTGGGAGGGCTCCGAGCGGGGTTCCTCTTCCAGGCCTTGTTGGTGCCCTCCCTCTCATTTTTGTAATAACAGAGTCGAGTGAAAGGCCTGCTAGGGTTTCTCCTTGCTCTGTAAATTCTGTCCACAGGGGACACCCGTTTTCTTCTACCTTGTGCCTCAGGCTCAACGGTGGCTCTTGGTGGGGGTGATCTTGCCCCCAGTCAGTTGACATCTGGCAGTGTCTGGAGATTTTTCTGATTGTCTAAGCTGATTGTCACAGTGTGTGCTGGCACCCTGTGGGTGGAGCCTAGGGATGTTGCTGGACATCCTGCAGCACACAGGATGGCCCTACACTAGAGTGACTTGGCCTGGAACGTCATCACCCAGTTTGGGAGCCCTAGCCATCACTGGGGTTTTCTGACATTCCTACTTTGTTGGTAAACCAACTGTATCTGTCACCTCCCAGTTCTGTTGTCGCTACTCCAGTGCATGTCTAGTGGTCACAATGCCCTGGGACGCCTGTCAGCCAGAGCCAGGAGGCGACTGCTGGGAGAGGCATTGGTACTTCTGATGACCCTCTCCTGTGCATAGGGAGGCTAGGGTCTGTGAATAGGTCCCTCAGGAACTCAGGTGGCTTGTCTGCAAAGTCAGGGACAGGGAGTGTGAACACCTGAAAGGGAGGTGTGTGTGCAATGTGAAGGTGTGTGGAGTGTGTGTGTATATACTATGCATGTTATATCTATCTATAGATAGAAACATAAGTGTTTTTAAAATTAGGCATTGGGGATGGAATCCAGGGTACTCTACCACTGAGCTACATTCCCAGCCCTTTTTATTTTGAGACAGGGTCTTGCTGAGTTGCCATGGCTGGCCTCAAACTTGTGATCCTGTCTCAGCCTCCCAAGTGGCTGGATTTATAGGCGGGTGGCGCTGTGCCTGGCTCACACCAAAGAGAATTTTAAGAAATCTCACTGTTGAGTAAACTCAGCGTGTCAGTGGCATTTATAGAAGCAGAAACCAGCGCCAAGGCCTAGCTTATATCTTGTTTCCTATCCTAGTGGGTGGCATCTATGGCGCAAGAAGTCCACCCATGTCCGGTCTTGCATCCCATCCTCATGTCACCTGGAGTTTCAGATCTTCTTAAATTTTGGGAGGACAGGTTACTGAAGATTGAACCCTGGGGGTGCTCTGCCATTGAGCTACATCCCTAGACCTTTGTATTTTTTATTTTGAGACAGAGTCTGGCTAATTGGCTGAGGCTGGCCTTGAATTTTCAAACCTCCTGACTCAGCCTCCTGAGTCACTGGGAATACAGGCGTGTGTCACCTGGCCTGGCTTAATATTTGTTTGAGTAAAGGATTCTGCTGCTTAAAACATTTGTAAAACATCCGATGTGTAGGATGTGTAATCGACAAGTGAATAAGGAGAAACGACATCATTTCAAACCAGTGGTCTTGGTTAGAACAGATGCCTTCTTCTCCTTTCCATGAAATTGTATTCTCAAAGGCACAGTGCGGTAGACTCTTCCCCATTTTAATTTTTTTTTTTTTAGTTGTCAATGGACCTTTTTCTAATTAACTTATTTATATGCGGTACTGAGGATTAGACCCAAGGCCTCACACATGCCAGGCAAGCACTCTACCACTGAGCCACAACTCCAATTCCCCTGCCACCCATTTTTAATCCAGTGCCCACTTCTCTCTCTGGTTAAGTGATAAATCAACCCAATTGATTTATTGAGTTTCCTATTGGCTATATAATCTACAGAGGCTCCTGGGACACAGGGAGCCCAGCACACACCATATTATAATCTTCAGTTCTAGACATCTAGAGAAAATCGGACGGTCCCTTCATGACATCATAGAAAAGGTTTTGACCATAGGCTTCTCATCAGCTGAGTGATCTCTCCTGGTGTCAGTGCTGGGAGATGCCCTGTGCCCTGGGAGAAAAAAGGGAAGGGCCAGTCACTAGTAGGTAGAGTGGAAAAACTGGACTAGGTCCTCCAGGTGGAGACAGGACCCAGCCACAGGTGGCAGCGCCATAGCTTGGCTTGAGTGTGTTGTGCCACTGCGTGGTTTATGGCCTATTGTTGTTGCTTAACTTTTCTTTTTTCCCATTACCCTGTTTGCAGAGTTGGTTCCTCTACCCTTGTCTTCAGCTCCCATGGGTTATTGCAATAGCCCTCTGTTTAAAAAGTTTACTCTGCTTTAAACAGCAGCACTGTGAAGGCAGAAGAAGCCAGGCAAAAGTGGGAACTTCACATCCTTTGTTCTAAAATAAAGACCTTTATGATGCAACATACCATAAGTCCTATTGCAGAGCTGGAAGTAGGAAATATACAGGTTCAAACCCAGCTAGAAACTCAGCTAGTTGGATGTGGTTGTAAGAAAAAGCTGGTGTTCCATATTTAGGGAATAGATTTTCCTAAATTGATGTGATTATGTGGCTTTCTAGTCCAGGCTGATCTTACTGTACTATCAACCTGACTTTCTTTAGGTTTAGTTTTAAGAAAGCAAAGTCAGTGATTAATTTTTAAAAGTCTTCCTGGTGCCTCTTTTCAGGCCAGGGGTTGTCTCTGTCTTGTAGGTGGAGACACTGTCTTAGATGGGACTCCAGGTGTAGGGTAGTGGAGGTTGTATTGTCCTGCCTTCTTACATGAAGACTCACCAGGGTCTGTGAGTCTGAATTAGTTGGCTATAAGCAATCTTGAATGCAAAATGGAGGAGGACACTGAATTAGAAATAGCAGTTTCAGATGGCAAATGGCCAGTTTAGTTACTGCTGTTTTTTACTTTTTAAAAAAATTTTTTTTATTTGGGCTGAGTTTGGAACCCAGTGCCTCATGCATGTTAGGGAAACTCAGCCACTGAGCTCTGCCTCCAGCCCTAATTATGCCAAATTTTAAGACATGACCGAAATTTGAGTCATTAATATTGTAATGTGTGTAATATGATCTGCCACAGGGAGTATTTATTTAGAATTAAAATATTCAGGTGGAGGATGTTTTAACTCTTGCACATCCAGCTGTCTGGAGGGAGGGCATCCTGTACTTAGAATCCCTGAGGATTCATGTGCATAGGATACACTGATTGTAAAGACTGAAGTTCAAAAGATAGCACCTTGTCATTTGGGATCAGATTTTGACTTGTTTAGATACAGTCTGCCCATGTGAATTCTTGTGGTCAATATACCCGGCTTTCTAAAACTTCTGCTAAATTTTGACAGACTTTCTCAGGAGTTTGCCCAATACCAAGCTTTCTTTGCTGGTGAAGATTAGGTTGTGCTTGCTGCCATCTAGTGGTAATTTGTTTAATCTTAAACACTTTTCTTTCTGTGGTTGGGAGAATTGATGATTTACATTGACTCATCCTCCTAAGTTCTAAAGAAGGTGGTCACCCCTGCCAGGGGGTACAGGCACCGGGAGTGCCAGCCAGGTCCTATGCCTTCCCTGTGGAGGGAGTGGAATGCCACCTGTGCAGCCGAGTGCATTAGGCTTAACTTTGTGATTAAGGCAGAGAACCGAATCTTGTACTCTGCTGTCCCCCAATCAAAGCAGTGCACTCTGCTATCCCCCAAAACAAAGCAGACGCCACAAAGCTTCAGAACCTCAAATAACTCCACAGCAGCATTTGGTGTGTTTTTAGCCTTTTCGTTTCTATTCCTGAACTAATAGAAAAATTCTTTCATGCCTTTCAAAAATGTTTATATCAAATATATTCAAGTCAACATGCCTGATCCATGTGCTTCAGCTGTCTTCTTACATGAATATTTTTGTTTCTGCTTTAAGATAAAAATGATGATGGAGGAAAAGTAAAGCATCTTGCATCCTCGAGAGAGTGTAGTTATTGTGGAAAGTTTTTCCGTTCAAATTATTACCTCAATATTCATCTCAGAACGCATACAGGTAAAGGACTTTGTTTTCTAACGCATGTATTAGTTAAAAGAATTGTGGTGCACTTCTGTTTTTGTGTTAGAACCTTGGAATAGTTTTGGGAATAAATGTGCAGCGTGCCGATGCAGCTGTCATTTTTATTCTTTTACTATCATGGTAACTTGAACAGTTGTCCCTCTTTTGAAGTTGGTTTATTTAGTTTACTACTACTGAATCCTGTCTTATTTAAAACTCATTTTAAATGCCCCAATTTTCTATTTTAAAGACGTTTTTAAGATTTAGAACAAAATGAGCAACCGTTCCGTAGTCTGAGGTTTGGGAAGCCTTGATAACAGTGGCTTGAGGAGGCAGTGTGGACTTGAATCTCACCCACTTGCCTGCTGAGCAGTCTTCCTGTGCCCCTCTTCTTGGCTGGAAGAGGGTGCTGATCATAATCATATCCGTAGGGCTATGGTGAAGATAAGAGCAAGCTTTCAACTAGGTGGTAAAGATATGCGTTTACTTTTTAGTTTCCACCGTAGTGTAAGGGTGGTAAAACAGGTCCTGAGAAATCCCAGCTAAGATTAGTAGGTTCATCAGGGAAAGAACTCACCACTGGTTTGAATAGATTCTTCCAGTCTCTAAAGTTAAATTTGGACATTTCTCATAACTTATGGTGGCTTCTCTTTTTAGGTGAAAAACCATACAAATGTGAATTCTGTGACTATGCTGCAGCCCAGAAGACATCTCTGAGGTATCACTTGGAGAGACACCACAAGGATAAGCAGGTGGAGGTTGCCGTGGAAGCCAAGAGTGAGGGTAAAAGTCAGGAGACCCAAGATATACAATTAGCCGCTGACGGTTCACAGACCAAAAATTTGAAGAGATTGTTTGATGGTGCCAAAGATGCTAAAGGTAGCCCACCTGCAAAGCAACTTAAGGAGACGCCTGTCTTTCAGAACGTTCTGGGCAGCATTGTCCTCTCACCAGCACAAAAAGATACTCAGGATTTCAATAAAAATGCAGCTGATGACGGCGCTGATCGAGTGAGCAGAAATCCTGCCCCTGCTCACATGGACTTGTTAAAAAAGAGACCAGCGCTTGAACCTCAGGCAGATCACCTCGTCTGTAAGTCGGAGGTGGCCATGGCGCCCCCCACGGAAGGCTTCGCAGCCCCGGCGGTGGCGGTGGGCCACAGGGACAAGAAGGCGGAGAGCACAGCGGAGGGCAAGTACCAGACAAGTGTGGACTGTCAGGAGAAACCTTTAAATTTGTCCCTTGGGGCTCTTCACAGTTGCCCGGCAATTTCTCTGAGTAAGAGTCTGATCCCCAGCATCACCTGCCCGTTTTGTACCTTCAAGACGTTTTACCCGGAGGTGCTGATGATGCACCAGCGGCTGGAGCACAAGTACAACCCCGACATCCACAAGAACTGCAGGAGCAGGTCCCTGCTGCGGAGCCGGCGCACCGGCTGCCCGCCCGCGCTGCTAGGGAAGGACGTGCCGCCGCTGGCCAGTCTGCACAAGCCCAAGCCGCGGCCGGCCGTGCAGGCGCAAGCGCAGCCCAAGGCGCTGCCCCCCGAGAAGGCCCGCAAGGCCCCGACGACCGCCGGGCTGGACCCCGGCGCCCCAGCGCCAAGCAACCTCAAGTCTCAGAGGCCGCAGCAGGGCGGTGGGGGCCAGGGCCAGGGCGCCGCTCGACCGCCGCAGCCCGAGATGTTCTCCAAGCCCAGCGTTTCCCCGGCTSCGGAGAAGATGAGGAGACCCGAGAGCAAGTCGAAACCCCTCGCAGCGGCCGCCCCTCCGCAGCCCGCCCTCGGCAGCAGCAACGGCCTGGCCGCGGTCGACCACCCCCCGAAGACGGAAGGCCCGTGGGCTCCGCAGGGCAGGGACTACTTCTGCAGCCGCAGCGCCAGCAGCTCGGTGGCGGACTTCGGGGAGCCCCTCCCCAAGAGACTCAAGTCCAGTGCGGCGGCCGCGTTGGACGCGGAGCAGCCGGCGTCCAATTGCAGAAGGGGTTATGACGTGCCCAAGTACCACGTGGTCCGGAGCATCACCTCGCTGTTGGCGCAGGAGTGCGTGTGCCCGCCGCCCGTGCTGCCGCCCAAGCCCAGGTTCCTGAGTGCCGGGGAGGCGGACGCGCCGGGGGTGCTGACCGTGCAGAAGCCCTACGGCGCCGCGGGACCGCTGTACGCCTGCGCGCCCGCCGGGCACCCGGCTGCCGGCCCCGCGCTGGAAGGTAATGCGGCCGCGCCCCTCGGGTTCACCCAGGCCTGGGTGGGGGGCTAGCTAGCCTTTGTCCCGCGCAGGGGCCAGAAAGGCCTTAGGGGTGTAGACAGACCTTAGGCTTGGCAGAGGTTTATGATCCTCCAGAGCGGAGCTCTCCAGGATTGACTCTCACTCCCGAGATATTAATAGCACTTTAAGTTTTCTCCTTGTGGAATAGATCCTGAAAACAACGACCGAGAGCCACTGGTCCAGTCCCTTCCTTCCTTCCTTCCGCGTGCCGTTTAAGCCCATCCCTTCATCAGATAGCCCCTTTTCTCCTGTGCACCCAGCCTGCAGAGGGATTTGGAGGAGTACTTCCTACCTTCCCAGGATAATCCATGAAGGCCTGCCACCTTCCTTTACACATAGCTGGCAGGGGGCCTCAGTAAGCACCATAGGAGGCCCTTTGTCCTGTCAGGAGAGAAAGCCAGGGAACTTCTGGCCCTCTTTCTCAGGTTCTGATGTTAGAAGTTTAGAACTGTAGTGCCTGTCCTGTGTTGTTATTTTTTGTGGTGCTGGGGATTGAACCGAGGGCCTGTGCATCCCACTTGCCTGTGCAAGCACTCTACCAACTGAGCTCTATCCCCAGCCCCTGTATTTGTTATCAAGTGGATTATAAAGAATTATTTTCCCTTATGTGTACATAGTAAACTTATATTATTTTGGAGTTTGCCCATGGAAGTGTCTTCTTCTGGCATCCTTTTATAGAGTGTGTGGCACATACCCAGCATGTGGAAAGGTAGGTAGAGCATCCCAGGTGTCCTGCCTGGTGTGCTTGATTGAGCTGGGTATGGTCCTGCTGGCTTCAAGCCATGCTGGTTTGTATTGTCCCAGAGAGACAAGGTCCCTTTCAAACCTTTTAGTTCCTGTTAGTTTCAGATTAAGGATTCTACGTGGTGACAACAGTCTATCAAGGATAACTTGATATGCCGATTGTTCTGATAGGGATAGCAAATTAAAAAACAATTGCTTTCACACACTCCAGTGGTTTTTATTGAAGTTGTGATGAAATAGTAATTTTTGCTGCCTTTTGATTAAAAGTGTCCACTTCCTCCACTCCCACAGTGTTTAGAATGGATGTATATTAAAATGTCCTGATGACAAAAGTCAAGTCCTCTTCTGAATAGGCTTTTTATTTCTTTCTCTTCTATAGTCTTGGCTCATGATGCATAGAGATTTAAAATACATTATGGTGCCATTGTCCTTTGGTTAGTAAAAATCCTTACTAATGATAACCTGGCAGGTAGATTTTTAGTAATTTGAAGTTTTGGGCTAATGTTCTCAAACAATTAACTGTAACTGGGCAAACAAGTACATGGTTTCTTGTGTTGTGGCATAAAGGAATCAGATTATCAGTGGTAGGAATTTTGAAAATCAACTAACAGCCCGTATGAATCTTACCCAGTTGTTTGACCTTGACCCTAAATGCCCCTTTACACTCTCTGTCCAACCAGGAAAAAGGCCTGTGTCATACCAACACTTATCCAGCAGCATGCTGCAAAAGAGGAACTATGAGAATTTCATTGGGAATGCACATTATCGACCAAATGACAAAAAAACTTGATTTCCTATTTTTTTGGGAAGAAAGGTGAGTCTATGTCTTACATTAAATGTAATGTGTTGATTTTACTTAATATATTTCAAAATAAATTTGCTTTTAATTTTGATTTTTTTTTTTTTTTAGGTGTTTTAAAATTCAGGTGACAGTGCTCAGGGTTTTGGATATTAGTGGGGACAATAGTAAAACAATCATCAATCATGTCCCCTGAGTTTCCTAGGCATTTACTTTGGGATGGCATTGAATGAAGTGTTTCATGATCAGTAGTCATTTAATCCTTGTTACAGCAGGGGGCAGCAAACTGGCTCTTCATCAAGACTTTTGTAAAGAAAGCTTTATTGGAATACAGCTGTGTATTTGTTTACTGACTTTTCATGGCTGCTTTTCTGCTCCAGCAGAAAAGTTAGGTAGCTGTGACAGACTGCACAGCCTGCAGGCAGAAAATAAAGTGTGTGTGCTGCAGGGTTAGGAGGTGCTGTGTACACCTTGGTGACAAGGTGACTGAGTCTAGGATTACATAACTTGCCCAAGGTCCCCTTCGCCCATGTGTGTCTGGAAGTCTGGTTTTTGTCTAGGTGCGCATGAATCCAAGCTTGTGCCCAATGTTTTAGTTGAGGAGCTTATTCAAAGCCTTCTTAGGGGCTGGGATTGTGGCTTACCAGTAGATCGCTAGTCTAGCACTTGTGAGGCCCTGGGTTCGATCCTCAGCACCACATAAAAATAAACAAAATAAGGGTATTGTGTCCAACTACTTGTAAAAAAAAAAAAAAGTCTTCTCAAAAACTTATCTGTTGGGAAAAGGCATTAGGATAGAAACAAACAAGTTTATTTTGATGTTGGGTCTGTATGCCAAAGTATGCCAAGTGTAGAGTAGCTCTGTAAGAGTCCAGTATCATGGTTATCTCACGTTAACTTGTTCATTTGGGATTTAGACAGGGCAGGATATCTGTGTAAGGATGATTTCCCTAGGGTTGCTTCAATACTCCCAGGTGAATAACAAGACTGGGGTCCCTGGACAGAGTTTGTTCCCACTCAGGTACTTGTTCCATAAAGTCCTCACCATTACTCCTGGAGCAGTCTCTCACCTGGTGCCTCCTAGACACCAGGATACAAACAGGAGAAGTGCTTAGGATCCAGGGCAGAGCTTCTCCAGCGACACAGAAACGAGCTTCTCCCAGGGCCACACCAGCCTTATGTAGTTGTGTTCTTAAGTGAGGGGGCATGGGCAGAAGGTGTGGGAAGTGATGTCATCGCAGGAGACCAGGCTGAGTCCAGGTGACATGAGCAGGCAGATCAGGGGACTGATTAAAGAGCTTGTGTTCTGGGAACTAGCTTAGCTCACTGGGGGGACACCTTTGCTCAACCCCTGGCCCATGGCCTGGAGTATCAGTGGTACCTTGATAGACACTTGCTGAGAGGCTTATAAAATGTTTCATGCCCCCTTTTTCACAGAGGGGAGATTATTCTAAGTTACATTTTGTTTGTTAAATATTCCTAGACCCATCTCTATACTTTTCTTTCTTACTGTGAAAGCTTCTAGTTTCTTATGGGAGGTATTGACCTTTGCCAGAATTGATGTATTTGGTACTAAGTGTTAATTCTTGGTTGAATTATCTCTTAAGTAGTGCAGCTTTATCTACATAGTCTCCTGATACTTGTTGCAGAATTTGAACTTTAAATGGAACACATTGCATTTCTAGATTCCATTTGTTTATTTGTTTAATATACTTAAAAAATCTTTTTTAACTGTTTTTTTTTTTTTTTTTAATCTTAATCAGCTGTAACTTTTTTCCCCCCTGTAGGTCTTGCTGGAAATGTTTGTACTCTCCGTGAAATAAATTTTAGTTCATCTTTGAGAAGGCGAGTGGTGAAAGCTACTGAAATAAGCTGTGATTGTACTGTACATAGAACATGTAAAGAACATGTGAGGAACACTACAGTTTGTAAAGTTGTTCTGTTAACTTTTGTACCAAATAGCAATAAAAAAACTAGTTGGAACAGTTGAGCTGTACCCAATGGGGACTGGAAATCTCTATTTTGTCCCTGAATAATATTTTTTTTAGAATTGACCAAATAAGTGGAGTTTTTGCATACTTGAGCGCTGCTGAAAAGGAATCATTTGGGGTTGGGAGGGTGGGGTAGAGGAAAATATATAATGCTTGCACCTCAGGTAAACTCTGTAAATATCTATGTTGTAAACTGCTTGTTTAAATACTGTGTGTTCCTTTTCTCTAGTTGAGCTCAACACATGGAGCAGTTTCTGCTGTTTGTGCTCATTTAAAATGTATGTTTTAAAAAAAAATTCTCAATGACTTGTATTATGTTGAATCCTCCGCAGTCTATTGTCTTAACACAGTTGTTAATGGACTTATTGACCCTCTCTGAAGACGTGCTGCAGGGTCTTGAGGTCAGCGGTTCCGAACTTGGCACCCTCTTACTGCAGATGTTGCCAGCGTGTGCTCTGGGGGGTTGGAGGCTCGGTCTCCTTCCCAGCTGCAGCCCTCACTGGGGCTTTACAGCCTCGAATCCGCAGAGAAGTCCTTCCTCCAGTCCATCCAGATCTGGAGTTAACATACCAGACTCCATGAGGAGCCATTTTGGTTTGTTTTCTATCATTAATCATTTTGTGGGGGAAATTCAGTTTTTTGGGGGGTGTTTGCCTAAATTAGTTTGTWAAAAAAAAAAAAAAAAAAAAAAAAAAAAGCTAACTTACAAATACTAGGAAGCAATTTTAAAGGGAATGAAAGGTTTTTGAGAAAATTCTAGGCTTGTATTCGGAAGTCTTGATGTGTCTAGTATTTGGTTAAGCAGGGACATGGAGAAGTTAATTGATGACACTGTTCTGACCGAGGACCTGTGGGCCCCACCTCCTGGGAGTCTGCCTGAACCTCAGTAGCCTTCCCACTTTGGGTTTTGCAGCCTGGTACCACGTTTTTCTTGGTGCACATGCAGTTTGGGTTTTAGAAAGGACGGACAGCAGCTGGCTCAATAGATGTTTTAACTTTATGTTCCTTTAATGTGCTGTCCATGGCTGAGTTTATTAGCAGCTCATGGGCTTAGTAACCACAAAATGTTTTATTAAGAAACTGTTTCAAAAATAAATTTGCACTGCTAATTTTTCTTGCCCTGCTCCTCTCTGTAGGACAAGGGTAAAGTGCTCAAGTCATCCTGATTTTTTTTCTTTTTCTTTTTTTCTCATTATGCAACGCGGGGCATCATTGGTAGAAGTCTTAACTCCCGTGTTGTTCAGGGGAGACCCAGTCTGAGACCAGTCTGCTGGCATTGCAGCAAAGTGCTTCGTTATCAGGAAAGTGGACACTATTACCTGTTTTCCTGTTCACAAGCTGAGCCATATGTACATAATCTAGATTTTGTTTTCATAGTTTTGCACTTTTTATAGCCTATTTTTGAAGATTAACACATTTGCAAGATGATTGATTCCGTCTTTGCCTAATCCAGTAAGTGTTACAGAAAGCTTGCTGTGACTGTAAATGTAAATCTTAAAAGGGGGGATGTGATAATAGCGGGCTGAAATTTAAACCTGTATTTAAAAAAAAAAAAATCACCAAATCTATTTGCAAACAAGTCAGTTTGTGTTATGCTGAAATTTTGGGGGCTTTCAAATCTCTGTTTTCCAACTACATTTCTGAATGCATAAAAATATCAATTTTTTTCACAGCCCTTTGTACTTCAAGATATGTTTTTTGTCCATCAGTATTAACTATTGGGATACTACTGGTTTTGTATGTGTTTTTCCTTTGAGACAACAGTACATATAATAGAGGTACAATTTGTTGGATTTTTTGTTTATGTATTTATTTCATTCCATTTGATTTATTTTAATTGTTGATACTTAAGTTGTCAAACAGTAGACATTACTTGTTTTATTTATGATATATTTCAGCTTAAAGTTATGTTATTATATGTGGATGTAAATATAGATTTGGTGTTTTGCAGTTTTGGTTTTTGGTCTTTATTTGTTCTTGGATCCCAATTTGTTTTACTTAAAAGTCTCACAAAATGTAGCTTTAAACATACACAATTTTAGATTAGTGTATTAAATCTCTGTTCTTGCTCCATGTTTTGCTACTCTCCAACCCCACCCTGTAGTATTTTAAACCAAATCTCAGACATGATTTGATTTAATCCCTAAAATAATCCAGTAGCTCTCTCTCACAGATGAGGACTTCACATTATTTCACTTAACTATGTGAGCAACCATTTCTCATAACTAGCTTCTGCAAGTCCGCGCATGTCCTGGATACCTCAAATGTCTTTGTGCACTTGGTCTGATGTGATCTGAGCCAGACAGGATCTATCTACTCCTTGCAGTGACCTCATTGGTGTCTTTCTTTTTTATTCTTTTTCTTTTTTTGTCTGTGCTACATCCCCAATCCTGTGTTTTTTATATTGAGACAGGATCTTGCCAAATTGCCATGACCATTCTTGCCCAAACCATAATACCTCAGCCTCCGGAGTAACTGGGTTTACAGTTGTGCACCATCACACCTGGTGGAAATACAAACATATATATTTTAAAGGAAAAAAAAAACTCCACAAAACTTAAGTGAATTATTTCCAATTTAAATTTTAGTTTTTGCTCTGATTTTGTATTTGATTACTTGAAAAACCTGGGTTACCAATGGCATTAGCCTATGTATAACAAAGACAATGTCTGTTTTGTCACTGACGTGGTTACTAAATGAAGCTCTACATTTTTTTGGTAAATCTGTTTGTTTATATCACTGGTTTTCCAGTTGTCCCTCCGCCCACCTCCACCAGCAGTGTCCTCACTGAGAAATTGTTGGACATGGATAGTATCAGAGTTACCTAAAGATCTGCTGACTCAGGAACCCAGCAGTCAGTTCTCTGGGGATCTCCCCTCTGCTGGACAGTCCTGTTCAAGGACAGGCAGTGTGGTGTTGACCTGAATTGCCTGCATGATATACCAGCAGACCCTGGGCTCCTGGCTTCCTGTTGTTGGATACTGCTATGGCTCTTTTTTTTTTTTTCCTAAATGTAATTTTGTTATGCAAAACACTTCCATAGCTTTAAAGTAAACCAGGCATGTTTTGAGATTTTTGTCTTCTTACTATGCTATCCAATAGTAATTATTACTTTCTTTTTTTATACTGGGGATTAAACCAGTATAAATTTATTTATTTTTTTGATTTGAGATAGTCTTGATAAATCCCTGAGGCTGGCCTCTAACTTGCGATTGTCCAGCCTCAGCCTCCTGAATTGCTGGATTATAGGTGTTCAAGGCGCTGTGCCCTGCTTAAAGTAACCATTCTTTAAAATGAGTTTTTGGTTTAGCCTTCCACTGTTTCTTTTTAAGAATATAGGCATGTATGTAGCCAGTACTTATATTCTCATTATATAAAAAAACATGAGTAGATACAGCACAACTTGATTTGTGGGCCATTTCATTATTTTTTTTTTCTGAAGAAAAGAAAGAGCACACTTCCGAAGAATCAAAGGAAATGTCATCTGGAGAGCTTGAGTTGGTCTCTAGTCATGGGGGGTGGGAGGGAGGCGAGGCCCCCAGAATGCCCCGTGTTCCTTCCCAGGGGATGTGGCCAGTGTCTATTGGAGGGCAGGTGGGGGTCCTTGGCTGTCACCATGAGGTTGAGGTTCCTTTTGGTTTTCTTGCCTGCTGCGCCACGTTCCCCACTGAGGTGCAGCCCAGCCCCCCTCAGCTCTTGATGCAGAGCGGCTCCTGTGATTGAACTGCCTGGTAAAAGGTGGGTATTTTGCCCCTAGGGCTGAAGCAGTAGTGAGAATCTGATTTCATTGGGAACCAGGTTAGTCTCTAGTCATGAGGAAAGTGATGAGCACAAGGTGCCTCTGGTCACATGGGAGAGGGGCTTCTGGAAGGCCACCAGGAATAGGTACTTGCATTACTCAGGGCTTCTTCTAGCCAAGCGACCAAGAGCTGTGGATGGTTTCATTAAAACCGGTGTCGGGCTGGGGCTGTGGCTCAACCGGTAGAGCTCTCGCCTAGCACGTGCGGGGCCCTGGGTTCAATACTCAGCACCACATAAAAATAAATAAAGGTATTGTGTCCAACTACAACTAAAAAATATTTAAAAACAAAAATAAGGTGTCACCACCAGGTGGCGCAGGCATGACCTGAAGTCATTTCCTTGTCCTATCAGCTTTGATGTTCAACTTTGGTCTTTGGGGCAAGTTTTCAAATGTGGATCATTGTGCCATTTCAAACACTAAAGGAAATATAAGACTATTACTATGCTTTTATTAAAATATTTAAGACTCTTCTCATTCAAAATTCCATAAGCTCGCCTGTTTCCTAGTGTCGTCCTTGCCCTTGTCCTTGGCTGCTGTGATGCTGGAGCACGGTGATACGGGTGCTTTTTGGTTTTTATTTCCACTGATGCCAGAAACCCAGTTTAATTTTAAAAAAAGGAAAACTGTTCCCATTGTCTTTTCACCTTTGCCCTTAGAAGCTAGGTTCTGAGATGGCTAGTGGCACTGTGAGAATTCCCCTGCGCTAGGCAGGTCTGAGGTGACTTAATTGCCTTGGGAAGGAGGGCCCGGTCCGGAGGGAGGGGACTTGGCCCTCGAGGGAGGAGGGGGGGCACTAATCCTCTCAGGCTCCAGGACTTGGGGCTGAGCCTGCAGTCTCCCCTTCCCTCCTGTCACACCTTTCTCCTGTTCTCCTCCCCAGAGTCCCTCTCATTTCATTCAAAGATAGCCCCATCAAGAATCCTGGAGACGGACCAGGCTGAGCCTGGCTCAGGGACTTTAAAGTGACGAATGCTGATGAATGCAAACTTATCAACAGCCCTGAATGGAAATGACTGCTGCGGGGTCAGCAGTGACTATATGAGTGCCTTGCCACACAGGATTCCTTGGGAGCGCCACACAAAGAGTGACTCTGGTCTCACATTATTTTATTATTTTTTAGAGACAATTTTTAGTTTTCGGCGGACACAACATCTTTGTATGTGGTGCTGAGGATCGAACCCAGGCCACACGCATGCCAGGCGAGCATGCTACCGCTTGAGCCACATCCCCAGCCCCATATTATTAAACATTACTGAAGATTGAACCCTGTGGTACTCAGCCATTTTTATTTTTTATTTTGAGATGT